GTAGCATGAAGCGACTAGGAGTATTTCTACTCCCCCCTGGATGGGATGCTAGTCCATCGCAGGGTTACCCCCAGCATTAAGTTCGCCGGTACCCATTTATACACCTGGGTAGAGAGAGGCATTGTGAGAGTAAAGCATCTTACCCAAGAACACAACACAATGTCCCAGGCCATGCCACAGGGATCGAACCCGGACCGCTTGATCCGGAGTCGAGCGCACTAACCATGAGGCCACCGCGTCTCCACAATAGGGAGAGGGGACTCAGTTAATAAACAAAACGTAAGTAGGTTAGCAGTTAATTACTGCTAATTATTTTTTTTGTGTGCCATGCTTCCATCAGTGGAGTGCTACGGTTCTCATCGAGTATCAGTATCTGTTACTACGAAGGCGGCCAAGCACCGGGTTCGAAATGGTGGTCAGAATATGCCGGTAAGGCCACAATACACCTTGTAATTTCCTCTTTTGGTTGTGGAGGAAAAGGGAAGGAGAGATTGGGGGTAAGGGCCGTAGAACGGGAAGAGGGCAAGGGGCTCAAAATAACCCACCTCGAAATGCGGCCAGAAAACACGGATCCCCCGAGGCTGTTTCCAGTTTGGACACATTTAACAGCCTGCCAGAACAACATGAATATGAGTACAAGCTACGGCTGGCTGAAACTCATCAGAACCCTTAACAAGAAAGTAAAAATGAATTTAAGCATTTTAATTAAAGGATCCTCTCAATTTGACTTTGCTATAATAACCGCCATAATTCAGTGCTCTAGCCTCGGCTGATCTCTTTTCTTTAAAAGAACCTTTATTGTTGAAATCTATGTCTGATTTGCTTAGGTCAACACCCGCGGCGAGCGGAGTTTTCATTTTTTGGTCTGAACAAGGGTGACGCTCACAACTTTAGCTTCACAAACACACTAAGGGAAGTTAACTGACCTTTAACAAATACGTATTGTTTTACACAAGTACGCAATATCCAGCTCCTTTACCTCTGTTCTAACCATTCCACTTTGCTGCTAAGCTCTTGTAGCGAGGTTTGAATGGCGCGCTTGTTTCTCTCACGAACCTCACCAACATCCGTCAAGTCTCGTCTCGATTTTTGATCATTAATCAGAGAGGAAGATCAGACGTCGCTCTTTTCCTTTTCGAGTGTTGCTATTCGACTGTTGATTCGGGACACAAACACCAGGAACGTCAAGTTGAACAGCATCAAGCAAACAGCAGTCACAACTAATACTAATGGTGATGACTGATGATGACCAGAGGAAGACCGAAAAACCATGGTTGATTCGACTTTCGAGTTACAAGCCTGAATTACAGGCGCCTGTTTAGATTCTTTGATCGGTTTCAAATTGCAACTCGTCTAAAATAGCCTGCGAACTCCGGCTGTCGCAAGTCTCCGCCGAAAATAACGGCGCGTGAAATAAGAGACGATGAAACTGGATGCTCTCGCAGGCCACAACTCCTCAAAACCAAAACAAATGTCTTTTATGCTCTGTCGAGTGACGTCATTAAGCAGGGAAGTGATTGTGACATGACGTCACGGACAAGATGAATCTTGAACTAGATAATTAAAACCACGTGTTTTAATATGGCCAAAGCTATATTTTGTATTAGTATAAATCTACTAGCGTTCCATCACGAATGCCGTTCTCTGATTGGCTACGCTACTCTGGGATAGATAGTGGGTAGCGTAGCAGTCTGCCCTTGTTAACAAAATGGCAGCCGCTTCTTTGCGTTTTGGAGGTGTGAAGAGGATTTAGATAAAGTATTGAACGACTAGAAGATTTCTACTAAAACAATTAGATTATTCGCTCTCGATTTCTATGCGTGATAGAAATCTCGAGCTCATAATCTTATTGTTTATTAGACATTTATTAATAAGAGAGAAGTCTGCATAGAGAGGTCAGGTCGATTCGAGAAGACAATGCAGTCTATCGACTTTCTAATATTAAGTGTATGATAGACACAAATTGTAAAGCCCAGTCTTCCCTTAAGCCCTCGGTCGATCTAAGTTGACGGATTAAAATCTTAAGCAAACAGTAAATTTACAAGAGTTAAAAGTTGAATTACTTTTCTTCCTCAAAACTGTAGTCAGTCACCTTAATCACTACAATTACCTTAATCAATACAATTCCATGGGAATGTTAATGAGAGTCAGTCAGTCATAAGATTAATCCGGCACGGACACTGCTTATTAACTTCGCCTATTTTTTAGCTAACGATCATAGTTAATAAATCACATATATCTTGCCGAACCATTTGATTGTCCCTGGTCTAATGTGCCAACACACCGGGGCGAGAACTACTTCTTCGACACGCGTTCCCGACGTACCTGCATGCACGTTTTTCATCACGTGCCGTAATAAGACGGTTCACATACCGTGAACATTACAAACAGCCAAAACTATTTCAAATAGTAAATTAACTGATTAATTAAATTCATCTCGACTCTCAGTGGCTTTATGGTTCCCTGGCAGAGCTTTTGGGCCGGAATGACAAAGACCATTATGTTTCCGAAGTTGATTTCAGTGTTTCTTGGCTAGATGTTAATTTTCTTTTAATTCTTTCACCCTCAAGCAAGTAACTAAAAAGCATCTTATATGCAGTTGGTTAATCGCCGAACCGAAAATGACGTATCTAAACCGACACACCGCCATTGAGAGCCCTCTATTGGTCGGGAAACCTATTCAAAACAATTAATTTCGAATCAATTACTTAAATATTGTATAGCTTCATTAACAACTGAATAGGCTCAAAATCAAATGCTCCGCGGAATGTTATTAACTCTGCTTCAGTTCAACTTTAATCCTCTAAATCACAGCGAAGTCTGTCCAATTAACAGCATCGGCAATACGCAAAGACATAACTATTATAAACCCGAAGATGGACTTCGAAAAGGAAATGCAAAAGTCTTTGAGAGTTATCCGCCAGAATATTCAAGCTCTGAAGGGAAGAGATAAGAGGCCAGTCGACTTGAATGATTCGCGAATGAGAGTTAAACGATGGCGGCACTCTCTGATTCTACCAGCCCAGGGGACTTCTGCCAAGTTCGTAGAACAGCAAAGTACTCACAAAGAACGGTGTTTTAGTATCTAAAGAAGCGTAAAGATGAGGTTTGAGCATAACTGGTGAAAGGACAGTCTGAAGCAAGTCTGATATACCACGAATGACAAGCGCCACAAAAACAGTAGATCAGCAACAACGGCATATTTTTCAGACTACCAAGACCATCCAGCAAGCTGCTCTCTGAAATAACTGTACTGGAGGGGTTCTTGAACTGGAAGACTGCTGAAAACAAATGAATGAATGCCTTCAGGAAATTAATTAATTAATTCGATCTACGTGATCTCCCAACGTATTTTTTAACAATTGTTGTTACTCTGCTGTTTTTTACGACTACTTGATATAGCTAGTGAAAGAAATCTCAATCTCGGGAAAGCGTTTTATTTACTCATTTTCGACCTTGTTCCTTGTGTGTGAACCGCTAATAACAATACAGTGGAATCCCGATTTTTCGAACCTCCATGGAAACGAAAATTGGTTCGAAACTAGTCCGAGAAATCGGGGATAAAATTGCAATGTTCGACTAAGGAGAAGGAAACGGCTTTTGGTTCGAGTTATCGGGAGGATCGAAAAAATGAGGGTTCGAGAAATTGAGATGCAAAATGCTGCCTTCGATCACCATGGCAACAAAACAAATCATAGCAGCAAAACCTTAAATGCGTCACAAGCTACGATGGGGCATCACTGGCCCTGTTATGAGTTTGATCGGAGGATTCAGTGTAAACTAAACACTTGTGAGTTGTACAAAACACCGAGTACAGAAAACACTTGGCTTCAATACAATACAATTCAACCACTTCATTTGTGTGTCAAAACTACATTGTGTACCAGCCGACTGCCAAAGCAGGGAGCCTATTAATTAAGGACATCTAATACTTAAAATGAAGATAAATATAAAATGACCATGAGAAATATTTGTATTAATGTCCAAAGATTCTCCAACAACTTAAGCAACAAGCACTAGCCAGACAGGCAGTGAGCAGGTGTACTTTTGGAAGAGCGTAGCACATATAGTGTACCTTTGCGAATCAGGATTAATGTACTCCTGGTAAGTTGAAAATAGCACCGTGATCATCGTTTCGACATTGCTATTCCGTGTACATCTCTTAACACCTTCTAAGATCCCTATATTCTTGTAACAAAACAAACAAACAAAAAAAATATCTACTGCGCATGTTTGTGAAATGACAACTGCGAGCGAGTTGTGTGCGCATTTGACATATTTTGTCTTCTTGAATAAAATCCCAATGTTGTCAGACCCGTATTGTCTGAACACGGAAGGGTGTCTGACCACACACAGCAGGAGGGCCACGTCACGGCTCATTTCTTCTTCGGTTTTACATCCATTTTTCTTGTCCCACTTAATTAATTATTTAGATGCAGTTTTCATAGGGCCTTCATAGGGCCAGTTGAGCCCGAACTTGGTCGTGAAGAGTGCAGTGACGTCATAGAATAGCCCTCTTAGCACTTTGCCGACCTCCCAAGCTCCAAGCTTTACGCGCTCACCGATACAAGAGTGAATGCCTAACGACAAGATGGTTTAGATGGGAGAGCAGGATAGAGGATGGTAAAGCGCATTTATCATTTTCCTTTCTAAGAGACGAAAAATAGATGTAAACCTGTCACGGGGTTGTTAAATCAAGTTTGTGACTGAGTAGTGATAACTCTCTTGAATACCACAGTGCTAAAAAATAGTCCTGTTTTAGGCTCACCTCACTAGTTTTAAAAGTCTGCCTTCTCCACAGGCTTCTCTTATTTTTTTCTTAGCGCAAAGGGCGATTGGGAGACTGGCAGTGAGAAAAAGGGTGCGAGCGGGAGCTGGAAGCGAGTGAGGAGCGCGAGCGCAGGGAGCGATGGGAAGATGATTTCCTGCATTCCTCCTCAGTAATTAATCATTATACTTTTTACTAGCTATCGCGCGGGGGACGGGGGCCGAGACAGTCCTTGATATTCAATAAAGCTTGTTTGCTAATCAAATGACGTATCCAAATAATCAAAATTACCTCTTCCTTCACCGCTTCATTCCAGTGGAGTCAAGGCTTTAAACGTTTTAATACTGCTGTTTTCGAACTCGCACAACAATGGTTCATCAGTGCAAGAGGATCTAGGGAGACAACTCTTGATCAATCACCGTAAGTCTAAGTAGTCAATGGATCGAGAAAAATGGCAGAACTATTATTTCCAAGCCACAATTAAGCAGTTACTCCAGCAAAATACCATCTGAAACAAAGAGGCCGCACTGGAAAGTAAATATTTTTGCGTCTGCATATTAAGATTTTTTGTTGACAGGGACTTGAAGCTGTTGCAGTCATTTTTTCGTGCTCTCGCTATTCTGAAAATAAAAGTGATTTGACATCAATTTGGGTGTGGGCTTGTCTTTCAACGTGATTTAGATGACAGTTTGATTAGCATGTTGTGAAATCTTGACGTATATCATTGTAGTGTCTGTCTACACAAGACAGACGTTTGGTTAAACCAGGGACGCGAGAGTGAAATAATTAAGTGGAAGTTAGCTACTTAAAGCAAAATAACTGAACTTTCCACTGTGAAGTAAACTTGCAAATGGAAGCTAGGAAAGCTAGGAGCAATCTTCTGGACGACAATCCAAACCAGCGGAAGATATCAAGGGGCTTGGTGCGACATGTCTTAACGAAAAACACCAACGATCGAATTGCGCTGGGCAAAGTAACTCGGCAGCTGGATAAGGAAAGAATAGCGAAAGAACTGGACTTTCAGCAACAGAAGCAGAAACTTTTACTTCAGAAGTTTGAATCCCAAATGAAAGAACGTTCTGGAAAAAATGGTCGTGATTCGGAAATGTGCAATGACTCGGCCTCGCAAAGACTGGCGGATTTGCAAATCGGCGCATCTGGAAAATTTTCGACCCCGCGGTGCAGGAGTTATTCCGAGCTTGGGCCATCCAGTTTCGAGTTGCGGGGATCGAAATGTCCAGTGCAGTACCGCGATGTACATGAAGGAAAGGAGGCGACCGTGAGAGAAACAGTCGAAAAAGATGGAGACATAGTGAGAAGGGCTACAGAGAATCCAGGTCGCATTGCAGAAGAGGAGAAGCTTAAACGCACCAGGACATTGTCAGACATATTACCGCCGCTTATTCTCCCACCAATACACAAATCGTCCGCAAGTCCATTACAGAGGAGGAAAAATTCCGAGATCCAGCGAATAAAAGCGAATGCAGCTGTAGGCTACGAGGGCGTTGGGACGAACCAGACAGCAGTTTTGACTCTCGTAGATGATTTGGGGGACTGCCGATATCTTAGGAAAGGTAAATTTAGTTGAAATCATCGTCAACAAAACCTCTGATTTCGTGATCACAGGTGATTGCAATGTTTCTAAATCTGTTTTAGCATTATTATCTCGTCGTGGTTTCGTAAAATCTAAGAATGGCAGCAAAGGTGTGTAGTTCCATGTTCTGGATTAGTGTATTCACTATTGGAAATAAATTTGGAAAATAAATATTTAATAAAGAGTTACAGTTCTAATTGTAGGTTAATTATTTAATTAGGGACGGACCATTAGAAAAGTGATGGGGGTGGGTGGGGAAAAAGCAAAAAAAAAAAAATTCATGCAAGGGAGGGTGAGTGCAAAAAATATTGTGCAAATAAGTGAGGGAAAAAAATTTCTGCAGAGTGAATTGCAATGTCGGGCTTACAAACTGTACCCGTCTGAATGGCAACTTGGCAGTCACTTTATACTGCAGTTTTAATTTCTTACGGTGGAACCCCCATTCACATGGTTTTCTCCACAATTAGGAAAATCGACATTGTTCCCTTTCAAGGCTGATACATTTTGTGCGTAGCAACCTCATCATAGACGCTTGTAGCCAAACACCCTTATAGAGAAACCCTTACGGATAACCATGGCGTAAAAGTGTTAAAAAAAAAAAATGTGCTATTAACAACCAGCCAGCTTGATTCGTTTGCAAGCACATACCGTGTTTTGAAAGCCTAGAAATGTAGGAGTGATTTTACAACTGACGCCCTTAGTATGGGCTGTTTCAATCTAGCTATTGTTTCAATCTATTTTAGGTTTTCGACAAAGTAAACGACGCATTAACATTCAAGTCTGTACAGACAAAGTAACTCGCGTGTCAGTAAAACAATTATGAGAAAGGCGGTCTAAAAATGATAGATTTGGAAAGCATGGTGAAATCTTTGAGGTTGGCCTGGCTAAAACGACTATTTAATGATCCAAATGCAACATGGAAGACGTATTTACTTCATCTGTTAGAGTCCGTAGGAGGACTGTTCTTTCTTAATTGTAATTTTGAAGTTTCTGATTACACGATATGTTCTCAATTCTACCACGAACTTTTGTTATGGTGGTCGGAGTTCCGCGAATCTTTTGCTTCAGAAAGTGATTGGAAAAATATTGTTTGGAATAATAAAGAGATTCGAATAGACAACAAGCCGGTTTATTATAAAAATTACTTTAAGTCGGGAATCATTTACATACACGATCTTCTATTTAACTTA